GTCTTTTAAAGGCACAAATCTGCTTTAAAACCGTTTAAGACTGTTGGAATTTTTTGGATCGTGATAATCTGCGATTTTTTAGGCAAAAAGATTCAATTTCTAAGCGCGGTTTTCCATCTTGCGGAGTTTCTGAGTGAAGGATTTTTGACGAAAACTCTTTACATGGGCGATAGTCTGCTTTAAAACTGTTGAAAACTCTTGCAAGTTTTTTTAGAGCGACTCAATTAAACATTTTTCAATCAAAAGGACTCTATTTTTCAGTAGAACCATGTGTTTTGGAACCATGTGAGTTTTATGGGTAAAAAAATGAAGAAAAGCTGTTTTTTAAAGACAAAAATCTGCTTTCGAACCGTTTAAAACTGTTGGATTTTTTTGGATCGTGATAATCTGAGATTTTTTAGTCAAAAATGTTCAATTTCTAAGCGCGGTTTTCCATCTTGTGGAGTTTCTGAGTGAAGGATTTTTGATGAAAACTCTTTATATGGGCGCTAGTCTGCTTTAAAACTGTTGAAAACTATTGCAAGTTTTTGTCGATTGAATTTGCAATTTTTGAATCAAAAAGATGTTTGTGTGTTTTGGAACTATGTAGGTTTTATGCGGAAAAAAGGGGAGAAAATGTGCCTTTTAAAGGCAAAAATCTGGTTTAAAACTGTTGGAATTTTTTGGATCGTGATAATCTGCGAATTTTTAGTCAAAAGATTTAATTTCTAAGAGCGGTTTTCCATCTTGCGGAGTTTCTGAGTGAAGGTTTTTTTTTAAAGATGTGGGCGATAGTCTGCTTTAAAACCGTTGAAAACTCTTGCAAATTTTTTAGATCAACTGAATTTGCAATTTTTGAATCAAAAAGACTGAATTTTTCTATTGGACAAAGTCAAATGCGTTTGAAACGTTGTGGGTTTTATGGGTAAAAAAATTAAAAAATGTGCTTTTTAAAAGCCAAAATCTGCTTTAAAACCGTTTAAAGCTGTTGGAATGTTTTGGATTGTGATAATCTGCGATTTTTTAGTAAAAAAGATTCAATTTCTAAGCGCCTTTAAACTTTCTAAACGGTTTTTACTACCTTGCGTGGTTTTTGAGTAAAGAATTCGTGAAGGAAACGTGAA